CTGGGGCTGATTAAGTCGATGGTTAATGTATCCTCCTTGTGTAAAATACAGTAAATTTACTAATGTTTTCCATTTGTATTTTTTGCCACTGTTGTTGACTTTCCTGTAGTTGCTACTGCTGTAATCTTTCATCTTGTTTATTTTGCTGTTCGAGCTGCCACTGCTGTAATCTCTCTTCTTGTTTCTTTTATCGTTCTTCTTGTTTCTTTTCTTTCTCCTCCAACAACTGCTGTAATCTATCATATTTATTTTGCTGTTCAAGCTGCCACTGTTGCAGGTTTTCTTGCCACTGCTGTTGTCTCTCTTGTTTCTTTTATTGTTCTTCTTGTTGGATGAAAAAGAAAAGAAACAACTGCCGTAATCTCTCTTCTTGTTTATTTTCTCGTTCTTCTTGTTTATTTTCTTTTTCCTCCAACAACTGCTGTAATCTCTCTTCTTGTTTATTTTCTCGTTCTTCTTGTTTCTTTTGCTGTTCTTGTATTGCTGCCATCAAATCTGCTAAGCTGTAGTTTGATTTGCCGCTTCTCATTTCCATCTTCTTTTTTTTTGTCCCACTCTCTGACACCAATTTGTTACGCCTCTGATCGTTTGTTAATTTTCCGTAAAAAATTCTTTCCGAAGAAACTTTAGCGATGCAAGTCCCTTCTTAAATAAAACTAGTTTATTCTTTCTCAATACAACTTTGCAATACACTTAATTTCCACAGTCACGCTATAACTGAAACAAATGCTATAATTCACAACGACCGAACGATTGACGAGCTTCACTCAATTGTCGTCTCTATCTCTGTCTGCAATTCAATTCCATTGTTGCCGTCACTTCTTCGCGGTCTTATATACAAGAATACCGCACATCTAGTAAACACTCGAGGCTTCACGAAGGGACATGAATTTTCTAGATGCTCATGACGTGTTACTAGCGTCACATGACTTCTGCTGTCGTAACAGTATTATCTTTTTTATCAGGCTTTATCTGCAAGGACATTGTACAAAAATATTATAATGCATTGTTTTGCAAAGTTTGTTTTTCGTAGGGAGACTCATCATATGACTTGATACCATAATGTTTGGATAAAAGAAAGCTCTTCGGAGCATAGAAGTGGAGAATAAAAATAAAACATATATTTAGCAACTACAGTTGTTGTGGTGTGTATGATTTTTACAAGCTTGTGAAGAATGATTACAGTTATACTTATCAGTAGACATTAGTATTAGGCCTATTTCATTTTTATACACTACATTCTTAATCTAGTCCCTTAGTGATTTTCAAGAATTAAAAGAGTGTATAATAACAGTGTTCCAACCACACCATACTTGTCATATCCATTGCTGACAATGCATTTCACTCAATCCAGAGATCTTCAGGTTGGCTGGTATATAATATACACAGTAGTGGTCAGAACACTATTTATATAAATCAACAACAATAATTTTGGTGTGTATGCCTTTTACAAGCTGGCAAGAAATTGTTACAATTATATTTGTCATAAGACATTAGTATTAGGCTTATTACATTTTTAAACACTACCTTCTCAATCGTGTCCTTTAGTGGCTGCTATTAAACACTCAAAAAATTATGTTCAGTAGCTGTCATAAATATGTGTGTTGTAAACAGCTATATTATGTATAGTTTATTCGGGTTGTTTCTGGTAAAGACACCATATAGGTAGATTTTACAATGTATTTTTCCCTCAGGTTGTTACTATAAGGGACACCTCATGAGAATTTTTTGTATTAAATTTTGTTTTCAGGTTATTTCTTTAGATTTTACTGTATGTCTTGTTTCTCTTGGTGTGGACACCTTACATGAACATGCAATACATATTATTTCTAGAGAACATTTCTCATAGCTAGATATTATGTTGTTCCTTGTCATTATTTCTCTAAGGGACATTTCAGGTAATTATACACTAATGTATGGTTTGTTTAATATAAATAACGTTATGACCATTTTTCCAGAATGTATCTTTATTAGCTAAGTATTACACTGTTACAGTATATCATTGGTTTTGGATAGACTACTGTAACTATTACTGGACATATCAGCACATATGAACAGTTACATAATGCTTTGCACCTCTTTAATGGTAATTCTATTCTGTTTATGATGAATGCAGTTCAGTTGTATTCCAGTGTTGCAGTTGGAGAATGTGTAGATTGTATTATGACCATGATAAGAGAAAATATAGATCACTTACAACTTCAAAATATTTCAGCTAATTGTTTAGTATGAGCTCTGAGGTTTGTATTGGATAATGGGTATGTAAGATTTAATGGGGGATTTTATAAACAAATTAAAGAAAATGCTATGGGTAAATTGAGAATTAATAGTCCTGGCTTATAATATTTATGCATATACTTGAACTGAAAGCATTCATTTTTGGGAAAACAGGAGGGAATATTAGCCCATCAATCTGGTACAGATTCATAGGTAATAAATTTAAAGTGTGTGGAACACTCATTTAGTGTCACTTATTAGTTTCTATGAATAGAGTCCACCCATTCAAAACATTTACACTTATTTATGCCATACCAGGTAGAAATGTACCATTTTAAAATACTATCATTCATGTCAAGGGTGGGAAAATCATTACTGATATTTTTAGCCAACTACTAAAGCCCTTTGTTTGCATTTTCACTCACCTCATCTCCCTGCTGTAAAAAGAAGTATAAGTATTAATTATCACCATAAGATTGATAAAGCTTGTAGTAAAGAATTATGGAAGGAGGTTAGATAAAACTTTTTAAGAAAATGTTTACTTACGTGATTATGTACAAAACATGATAATGATTTTGATAGGAAAAAACACAGATAAGTGCTCCTGAACCATGGTAATAAGGAACAAAAATTTAAAGCTCAAGTTACTTAGGTGATACCATATATAAATGATAATATCACCACAAAACTGATGAAAATAGTAAGAACATCAGACTTGCAGACTAAAATACTACAAAATCCTAGCATCTCCCTTAAATCCTTAATAATAAGCTTAGTATTTAAAAAAGAAACAATGTGTAAAAAATATATGTATAGCTTACAAAACTACGTGATCAGCAACATTGTAAGAATATTGTTTATAAAATGACCTGTGGCAGGTGCCCTTGTGTGTATATAGGAGAAACATGCTGACCTGTACATAATAAATTTGAACGTACATGGCATATAAAACCATAGTACCAACGGTGCTATTGCTGAGCATTGTAGTAAAGAACATAAGATACCACAAGTAGGTAACATCATACGTCAAGATATTTTCTAAATGTCTTAGTTTTCTAGACTGAAAGATTAAAGAATCTATTTTTATTTAAAAATTAACTAAAAGCAAGAAATATAAAGGTTGGCCTCTAGTGTAGAGATATTGACTGTATTCTTAAGATTTTAATGTGTTTGAATTTTGACAAAATCTGTGCATTTTTACAATGGTTAAAATATATTTTTTACATTGTATTGTGTAGGTATTGATATAACAGGATAGGGATCTTTGTAAACATACTTTTAAAAACATAAAGGCGTATTTCATATGCATAGTTTATCCTCTTTGAAATTCTCTGATTTTAAGAGCTCAACCCTTGATTTATATGTATACTCTAAGATGTTTGTCATCAGGTTCTTTCTGTAAGACACACTTTATGTGAGTAGGTATTTTGACGTAAGTTTTTTTATAAGGTGATGAATGTTAGACACTGTGATCATGGTATTATTGAAGCCACTACAAAGCAGTTATAAATATACAAAATTGATCCAAAAGTTCAAATGCTTTCAAAGAATAGTCTCTTTTTTTTTTCTGACATATATAATCATTATAACATATGAGTTATTTTGATTGTTTCTGTAAGGTTTTTTTCAGGTTTTTTTGCTGCAAAGTACATATGAAATAAGTATATTCTACCTCACAGAAACAGATGAGATGCCATGAAATGTTTCTGTGGAATACATGTTACATAAGTGGACATTAAAGCATGTTCTTACATGTTTATTTTGTAGGATTCAGCTTACAGGATCAGATGTATTGTTTCTGTGTAAGAGAGAGATATTAATTGTATAGGAAACAGTATTGTATTTAAACTTATGATGTGATTCTTTAGAGACTGATAAAGTACACTTGACTGTAAGGGCCATTTTATATCAGTAGATACTGTAATATGTTGTTCTTGTAGAGTCCAAAACTGGATGATAGATTACGAGACCAGGGTGAATCAGATACAGATATGTGTGAGAAAGACCGTAGTAGTAGCAGGGAAAGATCTGGAGGGGAAAAATCACAATATCAGGAAGATTGGCAACCGGAAAACCCCTACTCAAAAAGCAAGGACAAAAAAGGGCATAGAAAACGAGTAAGTGAAATAACTGTATTTTTGTTACATACTTAACCTTAGAATATTTGAAATCATAATTCAGTTTTGAATAGGTTAATTAGTATTTTGTTTAGTAACTTCTAGTAAGAAGAAATAATATTTAAGATATTTTCTTTATTGAGCATTTCAAGATAAAAAATGATCTGCAAAACAAATGATGATCAGAGAAAAAAAGAATGTTTGATGAAACCAACTACATTTTATTACAAAACAAAATAACATCAATAGGAAGTTGAAATCTACTTTGAGAAACGGTGTAAATTTAGATGCTTCTAAGTCATTGTTGTAAGCTATATTTTTGATGTTATAATCTAGTTGTTTTCTAGAGGAAGCTACTAACCAAGTTGATGTACTAATCGAGAACCTTTGTCTAATATCTAGAGATGAGGATACATTGTATATAAATACGAGTAAACAATTAGTAAAACTAATGATAATTTAATGAAGTATTCAATAAGTCTTTGAGTTCCCTGCCAGAAAAGTTGTTCACAGATCATAATTAAAAGTGAGATTTATCATGTCTATTAGCAAGTATATTTTGTAAGTTTATTTGTGAGTTAGGCATACTTACCATAGTCTCAGAATTATTGTTGAAATATTGTTTTTGCAATTAGGCCTACAATTACAAATGGAAATAGCCTATAGGGAACATTAAGGAAGAAATAAACTTATTTATTATTGTTTCAAGAACTTGAATTCACATTATGTTTATTAGATAATCCAAAAGAACCATTCCAATGATAGAACATGTCACAACATCATAAAAATACAAACAGTATTATTTGAACTGTGCTTTGTTTTACAACTAACTGTGCATTTAAAGTTCTAGAATTATAGAAGGGTTTCTAATATGACATGTAGAGAATAAGATTTCCAAAACCTAGTAAATTCTGACAACTTACATGAAAATTAGATTATGTATGATTTTTAAAGAATAAAGTTCCAAATCAAGGAACTGGATATCTGAAAGAGATGAGGAGTAAGCTGGTCTGTTTGAAAAGTAGTTGTACATTTTTGTTCTCTAAAAAACTGTTGACCAAAAGGTTTTTAGCTTTTCCATGAAGTCCAACAGCATTTTGTATACAGTATATGTGCAGGTCTGCTAAAACAATGGAAATTGTGAATGATAATCTTTTAATGCCAAATGTACAATTTTGTTTTGTAATAAATTATACAATTTGTTTGAACCAAAAAAGTGACTTATTTCGGTATTCAAGCACATTTAGTAGTCTTCCATTTTATCAGCACCTTACCTCCAGTGGATTTAAGTATTACTAGGTAAGCTACAGTATCTCTGGAACTTTCTCCACTAGTGAGATACTAATCATTCCCCTTTGAAGGTTCATGACATTTTTTGTTTATTTTGACATCAGGTTGCTCTTTTTGACAGCTCCTGAGTCTCATGAACCTTTCATAACGATGCAAAATAAGATTCTCACACAGATTTAGTTTTAGATGCAATCTTTATTAGCTGGTGGAGGGGAGGGTATACAAATAAAATAGTTTTGATTAAATAGTATGTATTAAGGTTTCAAAATGAATCAAAGACAGATATGTGTCTGAGTCTTCATATATTGCCAGTAATGTTTTTTCCCACCTAAAGAGCCATACTACTAAAATGACAACTTTGGAACACTCACTTTTAAATATACAGAGGTTGAATATGTTATATTAAGATTGATTTTGCAGCTTCACTATGTCATTACATTTGATCATTCTCTGTCTGATGACCATGTATCTTGACAGTAGTCTTGCAGCACAGTTTCCATTACAAAAGACTGTTGTAAGGCTGTCAAAAGTACATCACTATTTTCTGCAGTTTCCATAACCCATTAAGTGTAAAAGGCCAACAGCTTCACAGCACCCTTTTCAACAGTCTGATCATGCTGAAATCTATAAGCATTGCATCTGGCAATTTGACTGGTATATCTTTGTATGGAATAACATGAATACCTATTTCATTCTCTATCTGCATGAAATATTTGATGGTTGAACAAATATGTCATGGAAGCAATTTGTGTATACATGACTTATGTTCCCTTTATACACAGAAATCCTTCTTCATTATGGTATGTACTGTTGTCTTTGGTGTTTATGAATTTTTATCTGTTACAAGATGCCACACTTAGCTTATCACGGCTGAGGTATGACTTCATGCAGGTCCCTTCTGATCCAAACTACTTAATATTCTTGGAAATTCAAAGTTCCTAATCAGAACACATCTCTATGAGTTTATGAATATTTTATGTTGGAAATAACATGTATATTGCCTGGCATCACACTACCAATGAAAGACCGAGCAATATTAAAATGTAGTTCCACTGTAGCTTTACGCATCTGTTGTGGTTCTCATTGGACTTACATATTACAAATCATTTTGATATAATGTAATGAACCATCCGTATAAAATTATTCTGCCTCTAAAATTAACCATACATGATGCTTTTTATACATTTGAAAAACCATTTTATTCTGGCTTTTCTTTTTAAACAATTTTTTCTAATATAAGTTGAAAATGTATTTTTTGATTAATCCAATACATCGTGCTCTTTTTGTTATAATTAACAATGTATTTACAATCCTAATTCATGCTTTTTTATTATCTTGTACTAGTGTCCGTATATTCCATTTGAAACTTCTTTCATAAACCATATATCTATTTCTTTTCACTTATTAATTTTATGTTTTTCACACTTCTTTATCAACCATAGTCTTTTTCATGCACTGAAAATCAACTACATCTGTATCATTCTTATTGAAAGCCAACTTACACACTTCCATGTTATCATGGTAAGCAGTTATAAATACACATGATGTCACTAATGGTCACTTCACTTGCTTTCACACTTATAAAACTCCCTGCTTATTCCAAATTTGCCTTTGAAGTAACAAAGGAGGCCTACTTTTTGACAGTGTTTCGTTTATCATCTTTCAAAATTTGTAGTGCACCTTGAAGGGATCTACACATTTTGTTAAAAAGATTAGAGAAAATCTTTAAACTCCAGATAATTATAAAATAACTTTTTATTTGAACCAATGTTTCGCTGCTTCATCAGGGTTAGTACATACAACTGACTGATATTAGAATATTCTTTAAATTATAAAACTGCTTGTAATGTTCTATTGCTGGAGTCTGCCATACCATGCATCTAACAATGTATAGATTATTATTAGTGTTTTACTATTGTTCTAAGATTATTGTGTAGTTATAATACTAACTTTTTTTCTCTAACCTTTGGTTTGTCATATTTGTAATTTTTAATTTTTGTTATCAAAATTAAATGTTTTTTTTTCTACTACCGTAAGTAAAATCTCCATCAACAAGTAGGCTGTCAATAGAGGATCGACAAAATAATTCATTGGTGCTTGTGTAAACTTAATGAAACTTGCCTAAATGGTAAAAGATAGAAATTGATCGATCTTTTAGTTAAATGAAAAGGGAATTATGATTATTTAAGTGTCAATATTGATGTTTTTTTTTTTCCTGTTTATTCACAGTGTTATTCATAATGTTGGCTTTAATACAAGGGCAGTCTTGTAAGTACTTCATTCTCCCCAAAACAAACAAAAAGAAGAGAAAAACTGGGCAACAATACTGGATTAAAAACAGTATCATTTTCAAGCATACTTGTGCTAAATTACATGATTAATCACCAAAAAAAACAAATTTTACTGTGTTTTTATTTACTTAGTAAAATCTGGTGATGATAAGAATTAACTTAATGCAGATCCTTCCTCTTATTTAACACCTCGGGAATGTCTTTGGTCAGAAATCTGGTTTTTGGTTCAGAGTTTTGAGCTAATAAACTTTCTGTGTGTAGACTTGGTTATGCTGTACAATATAGTTTGCATCTTCTTGTTTCTTGCTGTTATTGGTTGTTACCAATAGATAAATCCTTTAGGGGTTTTCCTTACCCAAAGGAATCAATGTTTTTGGAGGAAGTCTTTTTTTTTTTCATTCCATTAATTTTACACGTGAAAGTTTTACTCTGCTACTTAATATAGTCAGCATCTACAGATTTTAATGATTTAGTCTTTACTTTTTTTTTTTATCTTAACCAGCATGAACAAACAGAAGATCAGGGAGCTGAAGTAAAACGTCGAAAGGAAGATGACTCTGGTAATTTTTTAATGCAGTGTATTTAGTCCCTTTAATGTGATAAATTACAATCAGCTTAAATTTATTACATAAAACATAATTGAGTATTAGTAATCTCTAGTACACAGTCTAGCCATTAAAGTGATCTAAGAATCTGCACTTGAAAAGTAAAGTTTGTTTGCATCTTTAACCACAGGTGTAGTTTTACCAGTTTTTATGTATGTGGTAAATTCAACCCTCTTACTATGGTTAGGTCAGAGTGCACATCACAATATTTTAGAGAGTTACGTTAAAAATTTAATTAAACTATTATGAATGTATGGGAATAAACATGACATCAAAATGTAGTTAATAAATCAGATTTTAATATTATACAAGTTTTAAATTTTACAAGGAAATATTTTAAACAATCCTCAATCTCCCTTCACTAATTTATTTACTATCCCACTCTCATGTATGAAATTTAATTTAGCTTACTCATTATCACTAAGCATGGTAGTACTTAGTATGTAGTAAGTATGTAAAAATGGCCAACACATTCAATTTATTACTTTATGATGCCTACAAATAATTGCTAAAGTTGAATTATAGCCTTATTCGAGCACTTAAGTGCCATTATCGAGTGTTTTACAACTTTTATAACGGTAATATTATTCTGTTCTTCTACCACACATATTGTTCTGGGGAAATAATAAAAAGGAAAACTACTACATAGCAATGAGTTCAGTTTATAAGCATATATTAGTTCCGTGTTTCATAAATATTAGCTTCATTTCTGGTCGCTAGATGGCATCACAAAATGTTCTTACATAACAACTATGTGTGACTTCATTGCACAAGTATGATATTTCCCAAAACAATTTCAGTGAATATAACTAAATAAATTAATAATCTAAATTAATATTGAAGGTATCAAGAAGATCAAATATATATGCACCTGACAGATCTCTGTACATGCTACTGATGTCTGAGTTTAAAAACACCAGTTTCTTAATTATCAAAACTATACATTATATAGCAGTCTACCTTTCATCAAATTCCCAGTGAGAATGGCTTGTGATCTGTATGATGTTCTTTGTATTAATCAACATAACCATAGTATGTGGTGGAGTTGATTGTACACACATACAATGAGTTGGGACGAAGTTGTTTGGCATGGGTTCTGTAAATATCCCCTTAATTTAAAATCATAAATAATATTCAACATTAAACTGGTACACAATTAAAAACATTTTATTTAGGCCTATCTATGGCCTTCAAAAAGTTGACGACTCTGCATGTTTTGACATTACAACGTCATCCTGAGGAGTAACGTCGAAACGTGTAGAGTCGTCAACTTTTGTATGGTTTTGTGTATTCATCCCTATGTTGTTTCTGCCATCCCTACATTATACTTAATTTTTGCAAATTAGATTTTTATTACTTGAAATATAGATATTACTGATGCAATGTCCAACTCTTATAACCTTCAATTTTATTTGTTTACGGAGTCATAAATTAGAAAACCAGACCCACTTGCCACTCTCACTTATTACATAACTCGCAAATTGCCAACAAGTAATTAGTTCACAATCTCTTAAATGACACATTTTGTTACATTGTTTTCAGTATAGAGTATATTCTATTTTGTCTTCAACTTCAAAGTTTCACTTACTGATTTCAGATTGAAAAATGTAAATAATTATTTTAAGGTTTATTTGCCATAGTAAGAAAGCCAGTTAAATTATGATAGTTATAGGACATTATTTGCTTTGTGCATGGTATTTTTTGTGTTCTTAGTTGCATTATTTAAATAAATAAAAATTATTTAGTGCACTAATTCCATTAATATATAAAGAAAAGTAGGCTTAAATTTCATTGGCAACTGACAGCAAAAAAAAAAAACAAGGCAAAGGTAAGTTCTATATTTCTTGTTTTTTATGTATATTCTTTATTTACTGTTATAAAAGGAATTAAAATCTAAAATTAGAACTTAGATTTAAAGTTAGATTAGGTAAGGTAATGAAAAATAATAATTCTTCACAACTGGTGAATTACATCATTCTATAAGGTGACATGAGCTGCACATTCACTGAGTGATTTACAAAGTATGTGGCATGATTATTAGTTACACTGTTTAAAGGGCAATAAAATGATAAAATTAAGAAGAAACAGGTGTATTCTGTGTTACGTCTGTGTTCGTTTGTTAATTTCCCATAAAAATTCTTTCAGAAACAATACAAGTCCTTTCTTAATTAAAACTGGTTTATTCTTGCTCAATACAACTATGCAATACACTTAATTTCCACAGTCACTTTAACTTAAATGCACGCTATAATTTACAATGACTTACACACTTTACTTACGGCTTGACTCGATTATCTGTCTATATCTTCAATCTCTTTGTCTGCTATTCCAGTCCTGATTCATTGTCTGGTGCACTTATCTACAAGAATAGAGGGCGCGTGGAGTTGCCACGAACAGACATGATCCTTCTAGAATCTCGTGACGTGTTAATAGTGTCACATGACTTCCGCTGTCGTAACACTACCCCTTCCTTAGTATTTTTCATCCTGAACAATAGCCACTTACATTAAACCAATAGAAAATTAAAAATAACTTAATTAAATGTACAGAATTTACAAACACAAAATTAAAATTCAAGAAAGTCTCTTAATTATTTGGGACGTATCTTCTTCCCTACTGGTCTCCGTCTCGTTGGCTTCTGCTTCACGTGGGGTTCATCTGCTTCATCAGGAAATGGTCCTATTATTGGTAATAGTCCCATCAATGGTAGTAACTTCATCAAGGGCTTCACTGTTTCCCTTCCCAAAACCGGGTAGCGTTTCTTCTTCAACACATCTTCAGCAGCATCATTTGTTCCATTGTTTACTTCGTTTCAACTGAAATGTCCAGGACTGTGATAATGCCAAAGCCTGTTGGCATGCACCACCTTTGGCTTACCTCACCGACCACATTTTATTCGGAAAGTTTCGCCTGAGAGACGATCCACTATGTCATATGGGCCTTCCCATGGAGATTACAACTTAGGAGACTTCCCTTTGGTCTTCCTGGGATTATACAACCACACCTTGTATGCTGGTATAAAGCTGACTTCAGTAGATCTCTTATCATAACATAGGTCCATGGAATCAGCAGATGTTTTCAATTTTGAATGCACTCGATGATGAATATCATCCATCCTTTCAGATAACACTTTCACGAATTCTGACACATTTTTCAGGCAAATCTTCGTAAGGTGGGTGTCCTGTTATCAGATCCACTGCAACCGAAGTTCCCGACCAAACATCAACTTTGCTGGAGTGTATCTAGTGGCTTCCTGCTCTGCTGTTCTATAGGCTATCAACATTGGTGGGAGTAAGACATCCCAGTCATCTTGGTGGCAATTGCAAAACTTTGCCAATTCCTGTCCCAATGTCCATTTGTACTTTTCTACAATCCCATCAGACTGTGGGTGAAGTGGCATTGTTCTGGTCTTTTGTTTGCCAAACAACTTGCAGCATTCATGGAACACAGCTGATTCAAAGTTAC